AATTTATCTGTTTTTTCACATCAAGAAGAGGAAAAGAAGTTGAAGTTTAAGGTAACGTACATGTATTTCCTTCATTATCACTTTTATTAATCTATTTTCTGAGCTGAAAAAATGAAAGTTGTGTTCGAAAATAAGTTTCTAGGTTCTAGTTGAAAGTCATACGGAAGTGTATTTTTGGATTAGTTCAGAGTTCAATTTAGACAATTTTTTTGAATTTTTTTTATTAATATTTACCTTAGATATGGTGCAGCCTGATGTTGTGCCCAAACCTATTGTATCTATGGATGTCAAACCTGTTGATGTCAAGGTAGATGCCGATAACCAATTTATAAATGAACAAGAGTTTGTTGTTCGTGATCATATGATCCAATGGATTCACTTTGAAGTTTCTAAATTGGGGTTCAACATTGTAATCGGAAGGTTAAATAATGGTTTAGAAAGAAGATTTGCATTTGTGATACTGAGATGCGAAAGAAGTGGCGAATACACAACTCATATTTAGAAGTTGAAACGAGATGACATCGATTTGAGAAAATGTGAGTGTCTTTTTAAGATGTGTGTATATATTTTGGAAAACAATAAATAGATATTTAATGTGATTTGTGGTACATATAATCATGACATGTGTCACAAGTTAGCCGGTTATCCCATTGCATGTTGTTTTATGCCTGAAGAGAATGAAATTGTTTCTAACACGATATTGAACATGATGCAACCCAAAAATATACTTTCAACTTTAAAACGTGGAAGACCCAAAAATATCTCAAATATCAAGCATGTATACAACGTTTGTAACCTAGACAACAAGGCGATAAAAGGGGATATAATTGAAATGCAACAATTGTTAAACTTCTGGATGATAATCGTTATTTATCTAGGTATCTAGTGTGAAAGGATGAAGAAATCATTCAAGATATATTTTGGACTCATCCTATTTCCATAAACATTTCCCACTATACTCATTATTGATTAAACATATTAGATCAATATATACAAACTTTCACTATTAGTAATTATTGGTGTTACATCTATAAAAAATACTTATTTCGTTGGGTTTGCATTTTTGGAAAGAGAAAAAAAGGACAACGTTACTTGGGCTTTAAAAGTGTACCAAATAATGTTGAAGGACAAAGAAAACACGTTGAAGGTCATTGTCACTGGTCGTGATACCATATTGATGAATATAGTTGCAATGGTATTTCCTACTTCATGTGTATTACTTGGTAGTTATCACACCACAAAGGAGGTGCGAATTAGACTTAAGCATGCGGTGGGGACCAAACAAATAAAGGGTGAAGATAGGAAAATGGTCAAAGCTAACGTGATACTGGAAAGAATAATTGATGCCTACAATGCTATAATAAATTATTCTACAGAAGATTTATATGCCAATTCTGTTATACTTTCCAAGAAGATGTGTGAAAAATCTTTGGATTTCTTAAAATATGTTGAAAGTACAATTCTAGACCAGGTGGAGGAAAATATTGTTCTTGGGCCGGTCAGATTAGACACTTTAGAAATACAACAACTAACCGATTTGAATCTTCATATGCTACACTGAAGGATTGGTTGGGAAATAGTAAAGGTGGTATGTGTAGAGATTGAGATTATGTGAACCAAATGATCCAAAATTAGCATTGTGAGATACATACATCATTTAGTCTCGACAGTACAGTGTTGGAACACAGGTTCAGAGACAACAAAGTCTATGCACAGTTGGTCGACAACATATTTCAAGCATGATTGCATTTTATTTTTCACAAAGCCAAACAAGACGAAAATGTAAGATTCGATAGCTCAAAGTGTGACTGTACACTTAGAAAGACGTATGATCTCCGATGTGCCCTAGATTTAGCTGTTGTCAGAATTAGAAGCTCACACCGAAAAATTTATTTCTTTATAGAACCAGGTGAAAGGTGATTGTGTAATTTCAAAAAAGGTGAAACTTGATATCCCAATACGAATGGATGATGTTTGAACCCACTGGAAAAGACTCAGTTTTGATGATGGTGGTGTTATGAAGGATGGTAAATCAGTAATATCTATCTTGACCGAATGGGAAGTGATACAAGAGATATTTTTTAAAGCCGGTGATAACATGAAACTCCACATTAAAGAGAAAATGAGGAAGATTGTTCATCCAGAAATCACATATTTGAAATTATCGTCTCAACTAGTAAAAACAAAAGGTGTTTCTAAGAAGGTCAAACCAACACTGAGTGACAATTCAACAATGTGGTCTCCTTATTTTGAACATTTTTATAAACTTTTTTTCTAATTCTCCAACTTAAAAATCTAAAAAAAAGTGTTTTCAAAGGAGCTCACATTAGCAAACCATCTCCTTCACCACCTTTACCCAAAATGTTATACATCGAATAGATGTCACTTTTTATGCACAAATACATTTTACGAATTGTAAATGATGAAGGTGACGGTAATTATGGTTATCGAGTTGGTTCAACTTTGCTCGGTAAAGGAGAGGAGAATCATGCACTTGTCTATCAACAATGTATCAAAGAGTTGAAGTAACATAAAGAATCATGCACAATGCAATTCATAAAAAAAGGACATTTTGATGCAAATCATGAATATCTTATTCTTTGTGTTAGGGGTTTGGCATCAGAGGAAAAATGAATGCGCTTACTTGAGATGGATCATCTTATAGCAAGTGCATATAATATAGTGGGTATTGATATGATAAGATAGGGGTTCCAAGAAACATTTTTTCCACTACGGAGTGCCCCATCTCAAAATCCGACTAAACGAATTATGTGTATTGGATGAATTTCTAGATCACTGCATTTTATTCAAGTTCATTCAAACAGGGATGCCTTATACCACTGACATCATTAGAGTTGACAACTCATTCAAAAAAGGAAGTTGAAACTTGGCCAAATCTTTTTTTTGGATAGGATGCAATAATTCTCCAAGTTGACCGAGATTGAAAGAGAATTAAATAAATAAATGTCAAAGGCGGAACCACCCATAGATATAGATTTAGACTATGACACATGTTTTGATTCATTTTAAATATTCTTCCACGATGTACTTAGGTGGTTAGACATGTTTTGTATGTAATGTAGGATTAATATGAACGATGTCAAACGTATACAGGTTCATAAATTTTAATATATGTTTCAGTTTTCTAAAATTTTCAACATTGTTGTGCTTTATAACAGGTTCTGTTTCTAAAATAGGTTATGTGTGAACAATAACGAGTGAATTTGAAAATACATTTGCAGACGCACCCCAATTTTAAAAAAAAAAAATTATAGGGGTTTATTTGAAATTGTACTTCTGGACCCACCCCATATTGTTAAAAAAAGAAGATAAAAAGGGTTTATTCAGAAATGCATTTTCGGACTCACCCTAATTTCATTGAATGAAACATGGTGTATCCAAAAGTACTTATCCGGTATATCTCTTGAGACAATATTGAGTCTCTAAGGTCCATATTGATTTAAAATTTGTATAAATATGAGTGTCACTAAATTTGTTAGCACAAATGCACAAAGAACATACACAATGTCTCAGTATGTATATCTTGCTTTTGTCTACTTCAACGGAGAGAAGCCCCCTCTTCAATTTAGGTTCTCTGAGATCAACTGTCTTGTCGATATAAAATCAAAAGTAGAGAATTTGTACCTAGACAGTCGAAGAGTTGTGAAACTCTATTATCGTCCACCCTCAATTGACAACTATGAGAATATATAGTTCAACGAGTTTGAGCCAAAAACGATTGAAGATTTATCTGTTATGTGGAGTACATTTCACTGTTACGGAAAAAAATGTCTGATCGAGTTTGATGTGAAGATTGCGAGATCAATTGATATATTCTAAAGATGTTAAAACGTCATATTTGATGATGAAATGTATTGTTTGATTTACGTTAACGGTTATCTATGTAATGTTTGATTTTTATGTATGTTATAATAATTATTGATGATAATTTATTTTTGTTTATGCATTTGTTTCATTTATTTTATTTCGTTTCAGTTTTTGGTTCTGTAGTTTTCGAAAATACATTTTTGAAATTTATACAGAGATGCATATACGTATCTATTTTTGTCATAAATTATGATCTGATTCTCATACAAATGGATTTTGTGTGAATTGAGGTGTGTTTGAAAATATATTTTTAAATTTCAGAAGTAGTTTTAGTTTTTCACTAGATTGGGGAAGCAACTCATAGGGTGGAAAGAGCATTTTCCATGTGAAAAGAGGGATGCTTAGTCTATTTTGTACAAAGTCCTTCCTAATTCAAAGGAATGGGCTCAAAAATGGTTAGAGATCAAAGAGAGACTTAAATTAGAAAGAAAATAATATGCAAAGAGTTTCCTGCTCTATAGATGTGAAAAATTAAAAAGTGTCAATTTGCACAAAATCTTGTACAAGTCCCACCTGTTTCTCACTTGATAATAAAAAAAAGTTTTGGAGAAAGCTTACACCATTGGAATCCGTTTCAATCCAACGTTTGACTCAATTTTTTTCATTGGATATTTTTATGGCTCTTAAGACTGCAAAATACTCGGTAAGAGTTGAAGATGTCAAAGTGACTTGTTCTGCAAAAATCAAGATGAAATCTCCATGATTATGGCGAAAAATTCCATTACAACCAACCCCAAAAAGGTCATGATTGTAGACACCATCACAATTACATTTTATCCAATCAAGAGGAGATTGCCACATCACTTCTATGATTTGAAGAGCTTTAGAATGTTCGATGGAAATATTGAAAGCCTTGATAGTTTTAAAGTCATTCAAAGAGGAAGATGCTGATACATAATAAAAAATGGATGTAGTATTAATATTAAGTTGTTTTATTACAAACAATAACGACATCAGCATGCAGATATTTTGTAATAATTTAGGATAATTGAAGTGATTGTATGCAACTATAGTGTTTGTCATCAGTATCAGTATTGGCACTCAAAAATAGTTTGAGATAATCGATTGTATGCAACTACCTGATGTGTTGGTGCTACTTAGTTCAATGAATATCAGTTCCTTAATCTATCTTTTGAAATTTTACTTGATTCATTCACTAGTGCTATATATGAAGCATAATCTGAAACAAGTCCTTTTTCACCACTAAATACGTCAAAATCAATAGAACCTCCATGCTTGCAATGACCATCTAGTAAAATATTAAATGTAATATCATTTGGAACCACTCCCAAATTAAGCATTGCATCAAGCAACATTCTAGCATTTTTCATCTGACCTTGTTTGCAAAATCCATTCATTAGCGCATTATAAGTTACAACACCCGGTACACGTCCATCTCTCTGCATGTCTTTCAGTAACTTGGCTCCAATTTTTACATCACCTTTCTTGCAATAGCAATCAATAACCATGGTATACGTTGGATCATCAGGTTTATAACCAGCACTCAACATATCCCGCAACAACTTTTCAGCTTCGCGAACTCTTCCGTCTCTACAAAGTCCAGATATTAGTGCAGTATAAGCAACATCATCAAGCTTAATCCCTTCCTCAACCATTCTATCCTTAATCTCCAATGCCGATTCCATATCTCCGTCTTTACAGCATCCATCCATTAGAGTAGTGAAAGTGATCTTATCAGGCTTCAAATCATTCCCAATCATCTCATTAAAAAGCTTCCTAGCCTCCTTGAAATCGCCCACCCGACAAAGTCCATTGATCATCGCGTTATAAGTAATCAAATCAGGTCTCACATCTTGATCCTTCATCTTCTGAAAGTTTCTCAGTGCCAAATCAATTTTCCCATCTTTACACTGTCCATCAATCAAAGTAGTGAAAGTCACACCATTAGGAACCAACCCCCTCTCACACATTTCATCAAACAAATTGTTGGCATCATCTAACCTACTTTCCTTACACAACCCATTGATCAAAGCACTGTAAGTGAAAACATCAGGAGATATTCTTTCACTCTCCATAACACCTTTCAACACAAAACCCTCCTCCACATTCCCAGTTTTACAGTACCCGCTTATCAAAGTATTAAAACTAACAACAGTAGGACGCAAACCCCTCTTAGGAATTTCATCAAACACCTTCTGCGCATTCATAGCATCACCAACTTTCGAAAACCCATGCATCAAAATATTGAAAAGATAAACTTTTGGCGGGTATCCATAATCCAAAACCTCTAAATAAAACTCCCAACAAGGCTCCGGTTGTTTCAGCTTCATAACACGACGAAGAAGATACTCACAACCACGAAGCGGGATTGCAAAGTTGTTCTTTTTCAGCAATCGTAGACACTGAATAGCGTCTTGTATGAATCCAGAATCAGTGTAAGCAATGATTAAAGCATCAAAGACAATACCAGAACAATGATGATGGTGGTGGGTAGGGTTTGTTTGGAGAAGGGAAGCGATGAGGGAAGTAGAAGAATGGTGGCCCATTCGGGAGATGATGAAAAGGAAGAGGGAATGTGTTTGCGAGAGCATGTTGTGGGAAGAGAGAAAGTGAGCCATGGTGGAATAGTTATGGAGAGTGTGGCGAAAGGGAGGGCGAGAAGCGAGCCAGTTGAAGAAGGAGAAGAGGGAGTGAGGGGAGAGGGAGAGAGGGTTGAGGTTGATGAGGTTTGTGATGTGGTGAGAAGTGAGGGAGGGGAGAATGCGTTTGAGGGAGGGGTTGAGAGAGTAATCAGGAGGTGCTTGAGAATGGAGATTGTTGTTGTGGATGGTGTTGATGGCTTCTGAGATTGTATAGAGGATGTCATGGTTTTTGTAGCGAGGTTTTGATGAAAAAGAGACAAGGTTGTGATGGAGATGAAAATGATGAGGTTTGAGTTTCATTGTTGGTCGTGTCGTGGGAATGTCTGTTTTTACATGTTGATTGTTATGCAGTCTTTCATTTCTTGTGTCAATTTGAGTTTCGGTTTGGGTTTTGTTGTTACTGTGTTGGCTTAGGCTACATGGACCATAACACAACCGTTGGAGAATTTATTTGAGCATTTCTTTTCTCAACCCGATGCATTTTTTACATACCATGAATTTTCTATTATGCTCTCTATTTTTAAAGATATATCTTCGGACGCACTTCACGTTTGACTAAACGTTCAAATATTTTAGAGATATATCTCCGAAACTATTTAAACTTTAAATAGTCGCATCATATTTTCCATAGCCTATTTTCATTTGAATGTTTCTGAAGATGCATCTACGGGAATTTTTTAGAGATACATCTCTAAAATGTATTAGAACATGTTTTTTTTATAACGTGTTGTATATTTGTTTGCAGATGAATTGTGACGCACGATCCCGAATAAAATAACAAACATATAAAATAATGTAGTAATATAGTAATAAAATGTCGTACGATACGAAATCCAAAATGTAGTAACAATGTCAAGAATGAAGTACAAACTATAGTTATGCAACAAAATAAATACAAAAAATTATTGGGTGTGTCTGACAACCTCTCCTCTATCTCCTCTGTCTGGTCTGCCTCATCGACCATGGATCCCCCCGTCCGCATGTGATGTCTATGTTACAATAGTGCCCCCTGTGCCTCCACAACAATGACATACAGTACTCGCCGCAACACAAAACCCTCAGGGAATATACCCTCGTCAATGTCTGCCCGCGCAACCTCTACTATGCGACGACACCGAGGAAAGACATGCTTAGTATGATCTAGCTGAGTTTGCTTCTCCTCTAGAATCTCTTGATGAGCAGGTCTCCTGGAGCAGTCGACACCATGTATGGATGTGAGACCTTGAAGAACCATCTAATGTATCCGTCGACGTAGCTCCAGTCATTCGGCGCTATGGTAGCCTGAGCCTCATCCAGTACCAGATGGCTCTAATAATCAACAAACATCTCCTTTATCCGTATACGAGTCAAGGCAGGAGGAGCAGAGACAACAGGATGTCTAGGGATGGTCTAAGTGTACTCGAACTGTCGCATGACGCGCTCAGGCAGATGAGGGGCAGTGATACTCGATCCGCATCCCATTCAGAGTATAGCGATATGTCTTCAAGTGGCCGCGTATGATGGTGATCCACGTAGCAGTTGAAGTGGATGTGCTCGGCAGCCAAGCAGTCAAGATAGACTTTGAAAGGCTCGGCCTCCCGGTTCTCTCTCAGCGAAATAAAAGCACAGGAACGGGGCATATCCTTAGTGTACTCATCCCAACACGCCAAACCAGCGATGCGCAGGAAGTGCTGGAGGATCCAAGGCTGAAATGAAAATAAAAAGCATTCAGAGATCAATAATTATCGCAAATATGAAATGAAAATGAAAAAAAAAAACATTCAAGGATAAAAAATTATTACCAGCAGTAGTCTCGTGCTGCATGTGACCTGATTCGTCCTGCAATAACATTCATCTCTCAACTTCGAATACAGATAGGCCAGGAAAGCCGCCCTCCAATTGTACTCATGAATCCGTGTGAGATCCAAGAAGTACTGGAGGTATGCAAGTTCAATATAGGTGACCCTCGTGTCTACAAAAATCACAGTGCCAACTAAATAAAAAAAATATGCCCTCAAAGCATGAGACCTGTGTAAGTTCACCTGCTCGGCATCACCATCATCCTACTGCGCAACCACGATCTCATCATTAAATAACCTCTTTAGGAACGAAAACCTAACATGAGCACCCTGGTCCTTTCCACCTCCTCAAACGCCCTCCCTAGATCAGCCCATAGATGTTCCATCATCATATCGATCGCCTTGTCTCTAGTCATCCTACCATGATGGAGGAATCTCCCCCTAATCAAAAGATGCAACAAAGATGAGACATCGTCCAGGATGATAGACATCGCACCATACGGGAGATGAAAAGAAGACGTCTCAGGATGTCATATCTCCACGAATGCATTAAGCATCCGTGGTTGACCAGAGTGTAACCGGTTAAACATAGGTCACTCAACCTAGAAGCGGTTAGAAATGACTGAAACGACTGCTCATTCGGCTGATGTAATGTTAAAAAATCTTCTGCCCATAGTTCAGAAACTTCTGGGGATCACACACCAACGAATTTATGAAAATAATCAATGTCAGTAAGAATCAATGTTAGAATTAATTAATGTTAGCAATTTAAATTAACGTAAAAATAAATAAATAAAAATTAGACTAATGTTACCTCTCCATCCCAAATATGTCTAGCACTATGGTCTGGATACAGAGGAAGTAGGGACATATCAGATGGACCCCCTTTGAAAGCCTCTGGCTCGACATCAACAACCTCACACTCCAAAGGTGGCACCAGTGCATCAGGATCATCAGTAACCTCACCCTCTAGAGGTGGCATCAGATCAACAAGAGGTGGCACAGGTGCATCCCAACGCTTGCGAGAGGATGGGGGAAGTGACGTGTTATTTGGTGTACCTCATCTCCTGCGAGAAAAAGAAGAAAAAGGTGGAGTGGTCTGGGATGTAGATGGAGTATTCTGAGGTGAAGGTTGAGCCCTAAGAGTCTAGAGATTCTAGAGATATATCTACGGAAACATTCTAGAGATGTATCTCTAGAATTTCTCAAAATAGATTTACGAAAAATTTACCGAGTTTTACGAAAAATTCAGAAAAAAATAGATTTTTCTAAAAATTCAATAGTGTATATGAAAAACCCGATAAAACTCAGATTTTTTTTTGAAAAATCTGGTAGTGTATTTGAAAAATTTGATAAAAACACATGAATTTTTTGAAAAATCGATAATATATTTGAAAATTTTGATAATATATTTGAAAAATCTGGTAAAAATTAATTATTTTTTGAAAAATCCAATAATAGGTTTGAAAAATCATATAAAAATCCATAGATATTTTGAAAAATCCAGTAAAAACTCGTAGATTTTTTAAAAATCCGGTAATATATTTGAAAAATCTGGTAGTTCAAATCAGGTATAAAATATGATTTTACCCAAAAAAAATCATAAAAATATTTTATAAAAACTCAGAGATTGTTTGAAAAATTCGATGGAATTCATAGATTCCCCAAAACTATGTTAAAAACTCATGAAACCACTAAAAAATCTAATAAAAACTCAAAAATTCAAAAAAATACGGGAAACACGTATTTTAAGAAAACGTAAAAATTGACAAAGGGTACTATGGTAAAAGCACACCATTGTCTGGTTAAATTTGGGAGTTGACATGATAAATTTTCTTACTTTCCCCTAAGTGTTTGTGTCGCACCCTCGTAAAAAACCAAAAATGCCTATAGAATTTCAAAATGTACTTTCAGACGCACCCCAGCCCACACTCAACCCATTTGTAAGTGACTCAGACCCTCATTTTTAACAAAAAATAATACGAAAACGTATCTCCATATAACATATGAAAGTTCACCTTCATACGAGTTTTTAATCAAAAACCCGTCAAGACTCTCCCATTTTCTCATTTCCAACAAACTCTCTCTAACTCTTAAATTATCTCAAATTCTCAAACTCTCTCAAGTCACTTATAATTTTCTACTCTCAACATTCAATCAATCCAAGTGCTACATCAATTACACAATTTGATAAGTTTTTGGTTTCAATTTTGTTGACATTTGATTTTATTTACATGCATTACGAAATATGAATAATGTGTTGTGTAATATATATCAATGGATAAGCAATGTATATGAATAATGTTTTATTTACTATTTAGACAAAGCCTTATCCAGGCTCCGGACCACCCGACCTTGCCCTAAATAAATTTATTCTCTAAAAAAATTGTGTTATAAAAAAATATCAAATAATCTTTTTATTTTTCAAGTGATTATGCAGTACCTGCGATAATTATTAAATTTTAAATTCAAAACTAAGATTTCTAAATAATCCACCTAAGTTAACAACTAAAATCTAAAACAACACATTAATTCAATTATAATTATCCGACACGAAACACAAATTTTCCAACATACCACACATATTAAAATTGAATAAAACAACTTATATATTATTCAACATAACAAAAAAATAACTTGAAATTGTTTGCAACAAATTATAAATTATCAAACTTAACACAAAATCATCTTAAGCTTTCTTCAACCATATTCACATAAATGTGTTGGATGCTTGTCCATTTCCATCATCTTAATTAGTATTAATGTCATCATTAAATTCTTAAAAAATAGTCTTTAAAAAAATACATTATTTTCAACATAAGTGAATAACATTTCACATTGTGAAACTATGATACAATAGTATCTCGAGAATAAAATAAAGTAAGTAGAAATTGTGAAAAGTTAACATTTTACCTTCAAAACCATATAACCAACTACGTGTGCACATGAGAATTTGAACTGATTCCTCTTTAATTGAACTTCTATACTTGTTTAAATCTTGAGAGCCAATGCTAAAAGCATATTCATAGGTAGAATACTTAATATACCACAGGTCATTCTTACAAGATTGGAACATCTACAACTTTTTTTCTTCCAATAAGCTAAGATGTCAAAACTAACCGATGGAGGCAGTCTTTACTCGTCTAAATAAGAATCAAGGTCATATTTTTCAGTATTGTGACTTACTTGGATTTCATGCTCATCGAATTTCTACTAATTATTCATACAAACAATGACAAAATTTGAAAATTTATGTAGCTTATGGGTTATAAGCTAGTGTTATAGCAAACTCTGTCAAATTCGAAGAGCTATTGTAGCTGTCGAAATATGTTAGCTTATTATTTAAGTTAGCATGTCGAATTGGGTCAGTCTGTTGGGTCGAAATATGTTAGTTTAAAGTTAGGGTTTAGTTTTCTAATAAATGACATACTAGTCACCACTTCTCCAATTAATCCCTGATAATCCTGATCAGAGGGAGAAAGTAGCATGGTTGAGATTAAATTATAAACATTGGTCTTTAATGTGTAATTGAATCAAGAATCTATTTTTTAACCACTTTGAATTTTCTTTCTCTTCTATTTTTTTCTTCTTTTACTTTGTGGTTTTCTTGTTAATCAAGAAACCTATCATAATCTATTTTCTTGGGCATCATTTCACAACAAATTGGCATGGTGAGCATGGAGGAGAAAATGCCGTCAACAAATTATGAGATTGAAAAATTCACCGGTTTGAATGATTTCGGCCTGTGGCGCTTGAAGATGCAAGCTCTACTGGTTCAACGGGGTTCTTTAGAAGCGTTGAAAGGATCAGAGAAGATGGATTTTTCTCTAACATAGAAGGAGAAGACAACGATGATCGAGAAAGCCCATTGTGCCATCATATTGAGTATTGGCGATAAGGTTCTCCAGAAAGACTCAAAGGAGAAGATGGTGGCGTGCGTGTGGAGCAAACTCAACGGTTTGTATATGACAAAATCCTTGGTTAATCGTTTCTATCTGAAGCAAGATTTATGTTTACTCAAGATGAGTGAATACAAAGTCTTGGCTGGGCAACTGGATATGTTCAACAAGTTAATTCTTGATCTTGAAAATATTGAGGTCAAGATTGATGATGAATATCAAACATTGCTGTTGTTGTGTGCTTTGTCAAGATCTCATGCTCACTTCAAAGAAACCCTCTTGTATGGAAGAGAGTCTCTGACCTTTGAAGAAGTTCAATCAACCTTTAACTCAAAGGACTTGAATGAAAGAAAATAGTAAAAGCCAACATCTATTGGAGAAGGTTTTTCCGTTAAAAGAAAGTTTTCAAAGAAAGATGGCAAGTATGAGAGTACGAAGGGTAAGGTTCCACATGATTCTTATGGTGGTAATGTGATCTGTTGTCGCGCGCGGATCAAAAACGAGTATTTGAAAAATGTAGTAAAGCGACAATAACTCAGATGTCGATTCACAAGGATTCTTGTTGATGAAATAACCAATTGAAAATTCCAATACCTGATGGATTCATAAAGTCGTTAAAAATAGATAGATTTGTGTTCTTATGAGAACAACTAGGATTGATGTATACTTTGGTTTATGAATTAATAAGGGTGTTTTAAGTGTTAATGCATAACCATTTGTATCCTAGATTGTTAAACGACTATGATTAGTGACTTAGTAACTGGTTAGTTAATTAGATATGATACTTAATTAAAAAGCTTTATAAAGTTGTTGTATATTCAATTTTCCTTAATTCAATAAGATAAATTTACTCTCAACGCCATTGTTTACCTTCTCCATTTTACATGCGCTTGCATCACAAGAAAAACATAGCTTAACATTAGTATATTCTATTGTATCTTCAAAGCTTAATCAATCTAAAAAAACTAGAATTTTAAAATTTGTTTAATGAAGATTTTTGAGAGAGAATGAGAGAAGAGCGAATATGAAAGTTTCATAAGAAAGATTTTTGAGAGAGAATGAGAGAAGAGAGAATATGAAAGTTTTAAAATGAATAAAATTAATGAGTATATTTATATTAGAGAAATTTGGATTCAAAAGAATGCCGAAAACAAGACAAATATCTATAATATAAAAAAATAACATATTGTGAAAAACATCCAACTGCCCTTGATTTTAAATTTGACACATCATCAAATTGAGGGCATTTTATATCCAAAATTTACTTTTTGCAACCAAACTACCATTTCTAAAGATATGGTTTACTATCAACTATATTTAGTTATGCTTTATTTCAAATAACTCTTATATCTCCAGCTTGTAGTTGTGAACAAACTATTCTGATTTGCAAACTTTTGAACTTTATGTTTCCCAATGCAAAATTTGTACAACTAAAAAATCTGAATAACATATCACTTGTCTTTTTTCTCATTAACCAACAAACATTGCTACCAACCCTCTATTTTATCTCTTCGAACTCATTTTCTCTTTCAACTTGTATCTATCCAACTTCAACATCTCATTCTTCAACCAAATCAATTTTTGCAAACTGGTATATCAGTGCATCCGAACAAAGACGAAGTTGTATGGTGGTGTGTCCCTCCAAACATCTCGGTTTTATCACACTAACATTCTTACTTTATCTTGATTCTTCTTAATTTTCTATTTTTTTTATTTTTTTTCCTTTTCCATTTTGCTTGATCTTTGACACCTGCTTGTTTTTTCTTCTTCTTGATCCTAACCTATTATTTTATGTGTTGAATGTTTGCTTATCTGATTCTAAATAAGATGTTTTAGGAATTTTTTCCCCTCATTTAAAGCTAAGAACTTCACATATTTTTTGAACATGGACCTTATATATAAATATGCATACACGAACCATATTGTTCTTCCAGAAGCATTAGAGAAATGGAGCATGGACCTTATGGAGAAATTTCTTCCACGTCATGTAAAGAATATATAAATAATTTATAAGGAGGTAATACCAATTATTGTCTTGCCTAATCTCTTCTATTTTAGGTAAATAAATTGAGTTATTATTGATATTCATATTTGACAGTTGATTCAGACCATAGTCACAGGATATGTCACAACATATTCAGACTGCAAAAAAAGAATTCAATGCTTATTGTTCAAGGTCGCTGAATTATGTATGGTTGAACTTTATAATTTTATATATTTTTATCGTACATAAGTAGGTTGTTCCAGTCTTATAACTATGCAAATTTTTGCAAGTGAAAATAAAACTCTTGGTGGTGATGAGATTAACTAGGCTGTTTTAAAATTATTATTTATTGTTTCAGAAGCTTCAATTTTGGTTCAACGTTCTAATGGCGATTGGGAACGTTGGGATACTGAAGCTTTTAAATCAAAATATCGCAAAATTGTTGAGCAATACATACAACATAGAATAAGCTTTCTTATTGGATATGTTGAGTCCAAAAAACATGTCTTCCAAGTTTGTATCCAAGTATATAATATTTGAATATTTGAAGTGATTCTTTACTTAATAGTGATATTTGACAGCTTTTACTTTATTAGTACCCAGCGACAGAGCTACTATTAGGAAAGGGTGGGTCCATGCCTCCACCACATTTCTCATTAATCCATGATTTAATATTACATATAATATATTAATATATTTCATCTATTAAAAATTATGAAGAAAAATTAATAAATGTTTCCACTTAATAAAATGATACAATGTATCACACCCATATATATTTAAAATATTCAATCAATTGCTTATTTTTTTAAATTAATTAATTTTATATAATAAATAAAATAAATATTTTAAATAAAATTAAACAAATTTAACTTTTCTATTCCTATTCCTATTAATTCTCTTTGACTATTTTCTAGTACAAATAAATTATTTTTGTTATTTCTCTTTCTCTCACTCCCCTTTCCCTTATTGCAAAGAGTCTTCCGGTTACTAGCTTCTTCTCTATTGTTGAGCAGTTAAAAAATATTTTTTTTAATTTTAATTTTTATAAATTTATAATTTATTTTTATTATTATAATAAGAGTAAAAATATATTATTACTTTGTAGAGCAAGAGATCATGTTAATGGAAGAAAATTTATTTTTAGAGTTTTGTAGTGTTTGTTTGAAATTGTTATGAATTTGTTGAATATGATTTTAATTGTGATTTTTTGTTTTTTTAGTAATATGCAATGGAAAAATATTTCAAAAGAAAATCAACAGAGCAATCATCAACTCCTACTCCTCAAACACCTAATGAAGGTCGAAGCCTCAAACTAGATCCTCCCATTAAAAAAAGATTTTTGGAGTTTGGATTGGAAAAACTTCCTAATGATCCTGATTTAAGGCCAAAAATGTCAGATTATTATCCAGTGATAGAGATGAAATTAGAAGATATTATTTGGAAAAGGATCTTTGTCAACCAAAAGAAATTACTTTTCCACAAAGAAAATTTGGAGATATCTTTTGTAAGTTTAATTCAGATTGGTATTCAAAATATGGTAGTTGGTTGGAATATAGTCAAAGTGAGGATGCTGCATATTGAAGAACATAAAGGTTGTGGTGATGCCTTTATAACAGAAGGTCTTACAAATTGGAAAAAAAGTGAAAGGTTTCGAGTTCATATTGGAGATGTAAATAGCTCAGATAATCAAGCATGGAGAAATTGTCAAGCTCTAATGAAACAAAAGCAACACACTGAAGGTGTCTTGTGTAAACAATTCATTCAAGTTAAAGAGGACTATCAAATTTATTTGACAGGTATAATTGTTGCATTCGATATTTATTAGCACAAGGTTTAGCTTTTCATGGTAATGATGAGTCAATTTCATCCAGAAATAAAAGAAATTTTCTTGAACTTATGAATTTTCTTGTTAACCACAGTGAAGATATTTATAGAGTTTGGAAAAATTGTCATGGAAATCTTAAGTTGGCATCTTCTAATATTCAAAAGGATATTGTTAAAGTTGCTACAACAATCACTACTCAAGTTATACTGGATGATCTTGAAGATGATTTATTTGCTCGTTTAATTGATGAATCTCGTGATATCTCAGTGAAGGAGCAATAATGAAGGAAAAGTTATTGAGTGTTTTCTTGGTGTTGTTCATATTTCAAATACTAGTGTGTTCTAACATTGAAATCGACTTTGGAGTCATTATTTGCAAAATATGGATTAAGCTTGTCAAGGATACGTGGACAAGGCTATGACGGAGCAAGTAATATGCAAGGTGAACAAAATGGTCTAAAAAGCTTGATTTTAAAAGAGAATTGTTCTGCATTTTTTATTCATTATTTTGCCATCAACTCCAATTAGCTCTTGTGACATTAGCAAAAAAAACATTCTAAAATTGCTTTATTTTTTAATTTGGTTGCTAATTTGTATAATTTTGTTGGAGCATCATGTAAGCGTCGTGATAATCTTCGTGAAAGTCAAGCTACAAATGTGAAAGAAGCATTAGAACATGGATAAATCTCTAGCGGGCGTGGCTTGAATCAAGAAATCACAATTAAGAAGGCGAGGGAAACAAGATGGAGCTCACATTATGGTACATTACTTAGTATAGTTTCTCTATTCTCTTCTATGATTTAAGTGCTAGAAATGGTTGAGGAAGATGGAACAGATTTAGATTTTAAAAAAAGTGAAGCGCTAATGCTGATGAATTTAATGCAATCTTTTGAATTTATTTTCATTTTGCACTTGATGAAAATAGTTTTAGGAATTACATATGATTTATCTCAAGCATTACAAAGAAGTGATCAAGATATTGTAAATGCTATGGAGTTAGTAAAAGTGTCCAAAATAAGGCTACAAGCTATAAGAGATAATGATTGAGATTCTTTGTTGAATGATGTTTCATTATTTTGCGAGTATAATGATATTGACATTCCAGATATGGATGACACTTTCCAGGTATAAGTGTCCAAAATAAAGCTACAAGCTATAAAGAGAAAAATGAAGAAAGCATCTAACTTACATCATTTTCAAGTTGAATTGTTTTATTAAGTGATTGACAACTTCAAGAGTTGAATAATCGTTTTACAGAAGTGAATACTGAGTTGCTCATTTGTGTAGCTTGTTTAAGTCCAAGAGATTCATTTTCTGCATTTGATAAGGAGAGGTTGATTCGTTTAGCTCAATTTTATCTTTCAGAATTTTCTCAAGTGGAATTATTGACACTAGATTGTCAGCTTGAAAATTGTTTCTTAGATGTATGCTCTGACAGTGAATTTTCAGAATTAGAGGAGATTCGTGATCTTTCTATCAAGTTCGTAGAGACCAAAAACATGTTGTGCACCCGTTGGTATATTTGCTTTTAAAGTTATCTCTAATATTACTGGTGGCAACTGCAACAGCTGAAAGAGGTTTCTCTGCTATGAATATTATCAAGAATCGAATGCGAAATCGCATGGGTGATGATTGGTTAAATAATTTTTTAGTTACTTATATTGAGAGACATATTTTTATTGATTTTGAAAATGAGAAAATCATTCTACATTTTCAAAACATGAAAAATCATAGAGAACAATTATAATTTATATTTATATTTTTGAAAGTAAAATGTTATATTTATATTAACCCTACTATTCAAAATTTATGGGTCCGTCTCTATTAGTACCTATTGTAGTCTCCATGTACAAATGTGATTAGATATGTAATATCCCAATATATTTGTAGTCTCTATATTCAGCTGTCATTACTAATTCAATTATAATCAAATTTTTAATTACTTATAAATTAAAATATCATTATTAATTAAAAAAAAAGCATTTTTCGATGATGAAACATTTTATTGACTATAAATTTTTTTAAACTTATAAACTTGTCGAGCTTATAATATCAATACATTACATAATAAATTTTTGAATTCTAATTCTTTAAAATTAAATATTAATTTAACTTTTTATTTATAAATATTATATACAAATAGAATAAAAAAGAGTGTAAAATTTATAACACTTTTTTTAACTAAGATTTTATAAGAACAATTTATTCATTTTTTATTTATAAAATTATAGAAGTCTTTTTTTTTAACAATCCACTATTATATTGGAGTATAGAAGTTTATAGAACTAATTATATTTTTTATATAGTAAAGTGGGAGCTTTTAAATGGATAAAAATACTCCATACAAAAAAGTGATAGTCAAATTAAAATTAAAGAAAAAACTATTTTAAAAGATGAGAATTAAGTGATAGTCAATCCTACGTGTAGTTGAATTTAAAATCAATAGAAAAATACATCATTTTAGAAATAAAAGAGGTTGAACAATTGATAGAATCTTTTGAAAAATAAAAAACAATTAATGCATCGGAGAAAGTTTAATTTGACAATTTATTTGAAATTATTTTAACTATGTTAGAATAGTTCGATAATTAAATTTATCAAATATTGAGTAGATATGAAAAAGCTTTATTACTTTTACTATATTAAAACACTACTTTTAAACATGTTTATTATTCTTAGACCAAACCCGGGTCTCAAAATTTTTTATTTAATTTATTACATTCAGTAATATTTGTTGTAAAAGATAAATTTAGATAAATTTATAAATTAAATAAACAATAATATAGTTATTTAATTACATCTTTATTCATTAAAAGTTTTAAATACTCTGTCATGTGAACTAAATATATACACATGTAACAAAAATTATATTTATATATGAAAAAAAATATATTATTGATTCAAATATTTTTATATACGGGAACAACTTTATTATTAATTCAAATATTTTTATAAATCTTATCAAAATAAAAAAAAAATTATATAAGAAAAAAATACATTGTTAATTCAATTTTTTTTATATACAAAAATAAATTTAATATTGATTCAAATATTTTTATAAATGTTGTCAAAATAAAAATAATATTTATATACAGAAAAAATTACATTTTAGATTCAAATATTGTTATAAATGAGAACAACTTTACTATGATTCAAATATTTAATAATAAAAATTTATCGATCATTTTTTTTAAATATATGAAAAAATTAAGAGAACTTTAAAAACATTATCTCTTATAAAATGATTGACTTATTTATAAAAAAACCTAAAACGATTAATTTATCTAATATAACTTTTAATAATTTTTATTTCAATTTTATCTTATTATTTCAATTTAAATTTACTATCATTCTTAGTTTTTGTTATTTCAGCTTTCTATTTCTATTATAAATTGTTACTGGTTTGAATAAAAAAGAGGTAGTTTCAAATCTCTTTTCACTCAATGAAACATGGACTTTGTCTAGCCTGAATCAATTCTGATGAAGAATGATTCAGGTTGGATGAAGATTAAACAATGTTCAAGCAAAATAACACGAACTAATTAAAAGTTTTCTTAATAAAAAGTGGTTGTTTGTGATATGAAGAGCAGACATTGCAATAATACTTTGAATTATTCCTTTGGAGCGCATGAAATATGGATCTAACACATCACAAAGAGAACTTAACGTGATAGATCATAATCATAATCCAAATCAAAATAACAAATAGCACTTATTCTCAATATATAAACCTAAGATCCTAACTAACCTAATAACAAGCCAAGAATGAAAGAAGAATCTAAGAACTTGTTAGCACAACCGCATAATTCTTGGCAAACATTTATTTAAAACCACGAACAGAAGGTACACTCTTTGTTAAACGACGACGATCTCGTGAAACAACACTACTTGAATCAACCACATCTCCTTCTCTTCCACACACAACACCATGCTTAAAGAAAAACCCTTTTCTTATAATCTTCTTCTTCTTGTTATTCTTTTTAACACCCTCATCTGCACTTGTTGTGATTGCAGTATTGTCTTTGTCGGTGCGACTCACATGTTTCTTGCGGTTGTGATTATTATTAGACACTATAAGGTTATTCAAATGCCTTGAAATGCTTTGAACTTCGTATTCATCAAGTAGAGATTCCTCCTTGTTGCGATGAACCGGCGAACTTTCTGTTATTTCCTTTTCCATTGATCTTTTTGCTTCTAACTCTAGTTTGTAACGAGAAGGTCTCGGTTCGCGACGCGTCGTCGTTCTGATAAAAAACTCACTAGAAATAGCGTCTCCTTCATGGCATGATCCGGAACCGTGTTGATACCATGCCCATGCAGCTGCTTTCACAATGGCTAAGTCGTCATTGATGTGATCATCTTTAATAGTGTTGTTACTAGGTTTGTTTCTGTGAGAAAGAGAGTTTATTAGAAAAGAGAGCATGGAAGCCATGAAATGAGTGTGTGGGAAAATAATGTTCCACGCATTAAGGTTATGGAAGAGAGAGAGAGAGAGAGTAGTATGTTTTTGTTGAACACGTCATGTGTTAAAGTGAGGGATATATGTGATTTTGTTGAGATGCGGTTTACTTGGCTGCTAGTGTAGGTTGTTGAATGGTGCTGTTGGAATTTAATAGGGTTATTTAATTTGAACATGAGTTTTGGGACCCTCATGTGGAGCCTTTTTAGGAGAATTTGTTTGCTATAGTTATGAGAAATGTATTTTTTTGACTTGTATAGGCACCAACATTATCATGACCAAGGATCTTATCGTAGCAAAGTCATTTTCATAGGAATGCATAAAAGTTTTGAAGGTTTTTTTGTGATAAAACCAAACATTTATAAAGAAAAATGGATTAGGCCCTTATCCTTTTTGGGCCTGAGTTAGGATTACATAGTGAAATGCCATTTATAAAGTTTGACCTGACTCCTGCATTGCAGCAGTGCTTTTACTATATTGTATCTTTGTAATTATTTTTACATTTTTATTGTCATATTTCAAATTTTTTTACAAATAAGTTGTGTTTTTATCTGCAATTTACGTTTTATACCGCATTTTTCATTAAAATCGTGTACTTTTACCGTCATTTTTGAAAATCTCCTATAAAAATCTATATTTCTCATGTATTTTTATCGGATTTTTTGAAAAATATAGTAACCAACATGTCATTTTTCCAGTGATTTTAAAACATCGGGTAAAAATTCATGCAAGCGTATCGACTTTTTCAACAAAAAAAATCGGTATAAAGGATTTATGGTTACCATATTTTTCAAAATTGCTGGTAAACCATGTAAAATTTCAAATTTTTTAAATTGTCGGTAGTTCTTAATTTCTTTCTTTTTTTTTTATAATTTAAATTGCAATGAGTGTTAGAGGCAGAGACAACATGATTTTGTTTAAAGTTGGTGATAGATCAAAGAGACATGATGTAGAGAACTCTCATGGACGCGGAGACAGGAAGGGCCCCATATTCGGGTGGGTAAAGTAGTCCTAGACGATTCTCAATGAAGGAGGATTGAGCTCATATCTAGGAGGAGGGCTAAGGAGGTAGAGCTGGACAAGGAAAAGATCTTGTTGATGAGCCCAATGTTTCGGTTGTTGACCATATAGAGACAACAACTCAGGAAGTAGAGGGTTAGAATCACAAGTAGGTGGTGGATGAGATGGGGGTGACTGCTTAAGCTGAGACTGGGATGACAATGGTGCCAGCTCTGGATGATACGGTGGAGGTGACTACTCTAAATGGTATGTGGCTAACCACTCCGATTGATACAGAGACATCTACTTCAATCAAGACAAAGGTGAATGCTCCGAGTGATATGGAAGCGGATGCTCCGACTTCTACAGAGTCGTTTATACACATTAGATATGTCAATCATATGACATTGAGATTGTGACAGAGAGAGGTATAAATGTTTTATTTTAAGATTTATTTATTACTGATTAATTGAAAATAATTGATGATTTATACTTTAATTGTCACATGACTTTATTTCGTTAAAGGTGCCCACCCATGGGGAGAAGCTGAAGAAGTTCTCACATGTCTAGATGCCTCAAGAGGTCATGGACATTGTTGATATTGCGACCTCATTTTGTTGATGGACTATTCATTAACCATGCTCGACGCTCCACTATTGTCCTCTTTTGTAGAGCGGTGACATAAGGAAACATCACCTTTTCATCTTCCATCTGGTGAAATGACGATTACTTTAGATGATGCCTCATCCCTCTTCCATATCCTTCTGCCAAGTACCTTATTCATTGCTCCTTTCATTAACCAGGAGCTTGTATGTACTACTACTACATAATATTTGGAGGTTACTGAGACGAAGGCAATGAAGGAGTTTAGGTTTAATAAGGGTGCTCACATTTGCATATCTTGACCTTGGAAGAGGTATATAACACTGGTGGAGCAGTTTATGTATGTGCAAGCCGCTAGGGTATACATGTTACATCTTGTAGGATGTGTTATCTTAGCAAATAAGTCTCATGTATATATCGATGTCAGGTACATGTCATTTTTTACTGAGCTTCACCATGTCAACTGGGCACGAGGGTGTGCTGCATTGACTGTACTATATACTGCACTTGAAAAGGAAATTGTCTTTGAGATGAGGCAGCTTGGCGGTTATATGACTCTATTTCAGGTATACAGATTTATTATGTCTTATTAATTTAGTCCTTATTTATGAAATTTGTTGATTTGTCTAAGTTCTTGTGTACTGTTGGATACACAAGCACTTCACATCCATTTGTGACAGGCATGCGACTCCCCACAGGTCAAAATATACAAGGCTAGACATTTACTTCTAAACGGTCTTCAAGAGTACAGGCGGAGGATCGATGTGTTGACCTTATACTATGTCATTTGGACACCCTACACATACCATATAGTGCATTGAGAGTTTGATGACACTTCCCTTTTTATGGTCAACTGAGATGGGAGGCCTTAGTGGCTAAATCCATACTTTAGAGGTGTATGCACTAGTTTGGGCATGTTTAGAATATCCCTCGACCAGTCCCTACTGTTCCTGTTAATGGCTTTGGTAGATGGTTTGTATCTAGCATTTCCAAGTGCACTTGTAATATTATAAATCATGCGGTGGTGGCTGAGTTCCCTAGGAAGTGTGTGAATGGTTACTTAGAGTGGTACTTTACAATATCACACCTTCACATCATCCCACATGTTTAACATGCGAATGATGTTGAACCTTATAATGTTGTGAGATCTTTCGATGATGTGCCACTGCCTCCATCGCCTCCAACTGTTTTGGCTGACCAACAACTTCTGCATATAATAACAGTACTTAGAGATAACTCCATTGCCTCCATATGGCAAGGTTTATAGTTTTGCATCGCAGATAGCACACATAGCCCGTGGGAGACTTTTGTAGATTTTATTACTTTTGTATTATTTGTATATTACTGACATTTTAGGTTAACAATTTATTAGATAGCCATTTAAAATTGCATTATTTTGGGGTTAATGCAACTTAACAGAGACAATAACATTAATTAAAAAATAAATAATAAATAACAAAACTTAAACACTACTAAATGATTCTGGTCGTTTCAACATCTTGATTATATCGTCAAAAGATCTAGCAATTTTTGCATCAAACTCAACCGACCCCTTTGCTGGCCTACAATGATATGTTCTCCACAAAACCTTCAAATCTTAATTAATCTTAAATCCAAAGTTGTTGTATTTCACCTTTCCTTTAGTATCAATTGATGGTGCACGAATCTCGATCTTACCTACCTTTCTATTATCAGTGTGGGCAATAGGTTATCTAGTTTGGATCTTAGAATAGTGAAAGTAGTTGTGTCCTCAGGGTTCCAAAAATAAACAGAAGATCCACATCTGTAAAATACAAATATTGAGATATTCTAAGATATTTATTTTAACAACATATGATATTTATTTATACAAGTTTGGATTCATTATAGATGACACACAATTATTAGTGCAATCACATCTGTAAAAAACTGTTGGCAAAATCTCAACCGTGAAAATTCAAACCATTGAATATTTTATAGTCTTGCTAAATATCTGATAATGCATGACCTTTTAAAAAAATGGTGATTTAATACTACTGGATTTTTAACCATTTTGGGAAGAATATGGTAATCCATGGTGTGTTTTTTTTTATTTATAAAAAAGGTATATTTTCACGAACCAATTTTATTTTATAAAACTAATAAAAATACATATTGGACTTTTATATTGGCCTGCCAAATTTTTGGCGGCTGCTTCTCTTCCCGGTCTTGCGGAGGAGCGTGGCTGCCTTGATCTACCCTAGGACTTCGGGGAGGACTGTGATGTTTCTTGCTCCTCTGCTAATTTTGTGATTTTGAACCTTCATTTTTCCTTGTTACGGTCGGCCTAGAGATGGCAATTTGAGTTCCCTTTGAGATGAAAGTTTGAGTTTCCTCGTGGAAGCGCATTTTGCAGGCTTTCTTTGTGACGAAACAAACGTTTCTCTATCGCTTGTGAATTATGTTGTAGAACAATGTTGTACATGTTGTTCAAAAATTCATTGGCTCCTTGCAGCTCACGGTTAGCTAGCAATAGTTGGAAACCAGGCAAGGCTTCTAGTTGCATAACAAGTGGAAGAATTGAGGGTCCAATCGAAGGCACTAGAACAAATCCAGCGATTTGATGAGCTTCAAGTAGATCTGGATAAAAAAGAGTTTGCTCTACTAGATTTGCAACACCTTATAAAGGATATGGAGACAGTTGATTGATCTCCGCTTAAGCGACAACGTCGATGGCAGCGATTTTGTATGCTAAGGTGCAATGAGTATCCTTAGATCTATCCATTACCTAGAAGTGTATAATTCAGAAATATGGAAATTCTAGAGATTAAGGTTGATATACTATTTGATACGATCGAACATAATGGATCTTATTCTTCAATTTCCTGAACTCTTGATCTAATGAATCGAAGAATGAATATGAGATCTTGGAAAATGCGAGAATCCTCAAGAGAAGTGTTTAGATGAGCTTGTCTCATGAGACTCTTAGTCTCCCCGGCTAGGCATTTAGATGAACTTGTTTGACGATACCTTTAGTTGAGTCCCTCGCGATGTGTTTAGATGAGTCCGTCTGATGAACCTCTAAGTCATTTTCCTCTAGAAGAGGAATTTAGGTGAGCCATAAGATGAGAATATAAGTGTAACACCCCAAAATTCTTGGATATTTATTTAATTTGTTTAAATATGAATATTCGCATTTTTGGTGATTTTCGATGGTTGGTATGAAATATTGAGAATTATGGATTTTGAGTTATTTATTTAAATAATAGTATATAATATGAATATATTGGTATTATTATTAATTTAAATAAATATAAGTGAACTAAGGGAAAAATGGACATTTGGGGAGGAATTAGTGAGGGTGAAGTTGGAAAGCCCAATTTTAAGGCCCAAAGTTAGGTTTAACAAAAAGG